GAGGTTAAGCAAAATAATATGGTTATTTAGTTTAGCGGTTTTTCCACCTGAAGAATTAATTTTAATCTTCACTCATTCATTTTTCTACTTAAAAAAGAAAAATCTTTTCACAGCTGGTACAAAATCACAAGAATAAAAGAAAGAGTGAAGAGTTCTTTCTCAACGTCTTACTTTTCAACACCCTCCTCTCAGTATGGAGAAGATTCACTATCATTCCCCCCCCCATAATTGTCCAGTAAAATTTGCTGATATGACTACAGTAATATGAGAGACACAGAGAATTCTGTAATTGTAGTCTTTTTTCTTAAAAACACATTTTTAATAAATATGGCTTTTAAAAAATTTATTAAGTTTTTAAATACTTCAGAGCATAAGACTGTAACTTACAAAAATTTTAAAAATGAAGGAATAAATATTTTCTTATCTAAAATGTATATGTAAAGATGTTAAATACTTAAAAAATGACATTTGATACAAATAATAAACTGCTTGAAGACAATAAAATTAGAACCTGGTATATAAAAATTTGATATTTTTAGTACTTAAAAATAATTTTTCGCCATTAAAACAGACTTTTTTCACCTTTTCTTTCTCTTAAATTTTTGAACTCAAATTTTTCAAGCAAATATTCTTCAAATGATATTTTATTAAGTTTCAAATATAATACTAATAAAGTGCAAATATAACAATTATATAATACATTTTGTATTCTGGAATTAGACTTCACACAAATTAAATATATCCAACATTTCTTTGTAAATTTTGCCATATTTCTGATTGTTTTTTATCATATTTTGATGTTATTGGCTAAAAAAATTACATAGATTTTTTGAGATAATTAATTAAATAAAATATTTTAAGGTATTGCAATTAAAAATAAATATTGCTTTGAAGAAAAGGACAAAGCAGGCATACCCTTACTATAAAATAAAGCACTTTTGAGGCTAATTTGAGGTTATTAGGTGCAAAAATATACCAAGGGTAGAAAATGAGGATATATTCTGCATCAAAAATAACCTCATCCATAAATCTCAATTTAAACCCCATTTACACCTCATAAAATAAATCTCATGTACACTACAGCAACACTTTTATTTAAAATTGTGTGAAATTATTCACACAAAAAATATATTAACCTACTTGATGTGTAGAAAAAATAATCTGTGAACCTCAAAAACATATTCTATAAGTTGATTAAATTTCCATCAACCTCAAAACAACCTCAAGTGTGACACACTGATTACAATCCTTGGAAGGTTGATTTTTAAAGGTTGTTTTTGCAGACAACGTAAAATAAACCTCAAATCCATCTTAACACCTGAAAACAACTTCAAATGAATCCTAAAAACAACTTACATTTTTGTAAGGGCAATTATAAATGTAATAACAAAAAAATTTTTTTTTTAAATTATCATAACTTCCGTTTAATTTGATATAGAAACAAAACTCAAACGGTCTTAGAAAGACAAAACAGTTTTCTTTTATAGAAAAACAGAAAGAAGATTTTTTCAGTCAAAATTGACTTAATGAAGTCTTCGGTTATCAACTTAGAAAAAATATGTGAACCTCAAAAACATTTTCTATAAGCTGGTTGGTTAAATTTCCATCAACCTCCAAACAGCATCAAGTGTGACACACTGATTAAAATCCTTGGAAGGTAGGTTTTAAAGGTTTTTTTGCAGTCAACTTAAAATAAACCTCAAATCCCTAAAAACAACTTAAATTTTTGTAATAACAAAAAATGTAATAACAAAAAATGTAATAACAAAAAATAATATTTTTAAATTATCGTAACGCCTGTTTAATTTGATATAGAAAGAAAACTCAAACGATCTTAGAAAGAGAAAGTAGTTTTCTTTTATATAAAAACAGAAAAAGGATTTTTTAGTCACAATTGATTTAATGAAGTCGTCGGGTATCAAAATACTTCTATAAAAAAAGTTATGCACGTGCATATTATTCAATATATATTTTGTAACAAAAAATTATTTTACTTTAAAAGTTACATACATTCCTAAAGACAGCTTTGAGTAGCATATATCAGAGATGGTCAATCTGCGGCTCACGAGCCACATGCGACTCTTTCAAGGATTATTTGCGGCTCTCGATGAATGTACCCGAGTTCATTTTAAATTTTTATGCTATTATATTTTAAAAAATTATTATCGTTCCGTATATGTTTCAAAATGTCTTTTAAATTACTGAGAACAAATATGAGAGACTAAGTGCAACGTTGTTCAATTCAAGGTGAGTTTTTCATTTTCAATATAATTATGATACAAAAAGCATCCGGAGAATTAGAATTAATAGAGATGTGCAAGAAGATCAAGCTCTACAATTAAAATATAAGTTGACTGAATTTCGGACATTTGTACTAGTATCGAAGAATCCTGAATTAAAAAAAGGTTGATTGTAGAATTATTTCAATATTCGGAACAACGTACTTATGTGAATCACTTTATCCCACTTTAAAATTCGGAAAATTCAAACACCGATCAGTATTAACTAACCAGCATCTCAAAGAATTACTGAGAAATGCTGTCACCAATTATTCACCAAATTTGAAAAAGTTATCTGGAGAAGTAAAGTAAATGTGCTTAATTTTTAATATTTAAATTCAATACACATATTTTGAACTTTTACTTATATGTTCTCAATAAATGTAATTTATGTAAAAAAAATACCTTTTCTGCATATCTTTTAAATACGTATTTAATTGCGGCTCGCGAAAAATTTCAAATTTTGAAAAATGGCTCGACTATGGAAGAGCTTGGCCACCCCTTGCATATATTATCCTTTAAATTGTTAATAATTTTTATTTTGCTTTATTTTCAAATTGATTTTAAGTTACGTACCAGGATTAACTGATGATAACTTATCACGAAGAAAAAATTATTTAATGTGTTATAAGTTGAACCTGAACATTTAATTATCATTCATCTTTCATCTCTTTTATATGTTTTCGTCACACACCATTATTTATTTATTAAAATATGTTTTGGGCTATTATAAGTAACATATCCATTAAATGCAGTCAGTGAAATATAATTTCTACATTTTTCAGTTCTAAAAAGTAGAAGTTTCTTTGAATAAAAGAAACTGGTAGAGTTTTCTATTTGTTTCTTAAAAATAGATCCAGTATGAAAGAGCATATTCTTCTACTACTTTCTTCGACAGAAAGTCTTCAATATCCAATTCTAGAAAGCGGTTTCCTCAGAAGTAGTGCAGTATTTTTAGATATTTCATGGAAACTTCTATCCAAACTTATATTCAATGATACCAATTCTTGGGGGGATTTTATTCATAAGAGGTTGAGCCAAAAATTTAATAGTAGGTATGGTGAGGCCAAAAGATAGGGAGCAGTTATAAATTTTCTATATTTTTATATCTGTGTGAAAAAAATAACTTCGGTAATGTAAAATCTTCCCTTAAAATGAAGTATATTTACGTCAAATTCCCCCTATAATGAATATTTTTATCGGTGCGTTAAATGACATTCGAAATATACTTCATACAACGAAATGGTTGTCTCGATTTATCGAATTTTTCTGACTTTCATCTTTTCTATTTTATTTATTTTTAGACGTTAATCCTTTCAATTTTTACCATTTTTGAAGAATATGAATACTTGAAACGTAGAATTTCTTTGCTACTGTTCGCTTTTATCCACGCATATTTCTGAAAGTACTTGCATTATTTATTCGAATGAAAAAAATACCTGAAAATGTTTAAAATATATCCGAATGCATTTTTACGTGAACATATTTATGAATTATTATAACAATACAAACTGTAAAACAATTAAAATTTAATACTAACGAAACTAACAAAAGTATTAATTTGTACAAATTACTTCATAGTTTAATTTCACTTTTGAGCATTTTATTTTTACATTAAAAACTAATAAATTTATATTATCTGTTACTTAATTTTATATTAAAAGTCATAATTATATACTTTTAGACTTATCATGATGACCTACATTTCGCAAAATTTATTTAGATAACTTCACAACTATGTAATATCTGTAAAACAGAATATTCTTTATGTTGAATTTTAAATTTGAACCAATTTATTTCTTTATAAAGCTACAAAACATATTTTGTAAGGAAAGCAATATTAAATAAAATTTGACAATGAAAATAGAGATTAAAACTATACTAATGACATTATGCTAAAAATATTTTTTTAACTAAGAAACTTTAACTGGATTTCTTTTAACTGGAACAGAAACTACTATACCTTTTCACTCCATTTAACATACACTGTTTTACAGTTTTAAATTAAAGGAATATTGCAGAATAAAATAAATTAATAACGTATAATTTTAAGAAATATAATCATAAAATGAATCCAATTTTTAAAACAAGAGAGACAAAGAAGTAAATTAGCAATTAAAACATTGAATCAAAATGGAAAAACACCTAAAGCAGATAAAACCAAATTTGCTTTATTTTAATTTAGATATTCATATAAACATTTAAAGCAGGAAAATATAATTTTACGAGTGATTTTTTTTTCTTTTTTTGATTATGGTTCAATTAATCAAAACTAGTGAACATCGTTTTAGTTAGGATTTCTAAAAGCAACTATGTAAAAATAGCATTTCCATTATATAATGTATTTCATTTACAATATGACTGTGAATTTATAAATGCGATTTAATTATTCTTCACACCGTCATAATGCACGACTGAAGAAAATTTTAACTAAGATGTATTTTACAAATTAAGAATTTCAGATAAATATGTTTGTAGTATTAAAAGCACACACGTAAAAAAATTTTAACGTTTTTGAACTATTTAACATGAAAGTATACATTGAGTTTCAATTTTTAGATACTCAATTCTTTTTAAATTGAAAAAATATATAGTGAAGATTTAAATTTCTTGCAATTTTTAATATTTATTTTAGCTTTTAACTTTACAATTCTGAACACATATTATTTAGACTATTTGACTTTCTAACAAAATACAAAATCAAATCTTGCTATTTAACACAAATGTAGTCTTACCGGGACAGTATATTTAAACAAAGACATACATTTACAAAACTTATAACAATAACATGAAGCAATTTTTAAATATAACATGCAATTTTTAAATGTGACATACCCATATCTGAAAGAAGTGAGAAGATGAAATACTTTAGTACTTACCTAAAATAAAATATAAACACATGAATAAAATTTCTTAAAATAAATCAATATTATCATATATTACAACAGTAATAGCATATGTTACAGTAATATTATCATATTCATATATTTGCTGAAGTACTTACGAAAAAAGCATTTTAATGAAAATTATAATTAAGTAATATTTTTGAAATAATCTAAAGCGAGACATATTTATTTAACAATAAAAGCATCAATTTTCTGTGAAATTTATCACAGTATGAATATGATATGAAATATCTGAAATATATTTAAGTTTATATACAGTAAAAATGTTGTTCTGTGAAGGTTGAAATGTTTTTTCATTCATTAAAAATCAAATGAACAAAATATAAAAAAGGAAATTTACTTTTCAATAATGTCTTTAATTACTAAATTAAGCACCAATATAAACATACAAGAAAATTTAAGACAAAAAGCAGAATATTTTTGCTAAGATTAAGATTAAAGGTTAGTGAGCAATACACGAAGAAAAGTAATTTAAGAATTGAAAAGTAAAAGTAATTAATTGCTCAAAAACGTGTATGTATATTATAGATATAGTTTATTATAAAATACACAAATTGAATTAATATATGTATGATAAAAACTAATCATAGTTTTAGATCAAAATTTGTATTGTTTAAATTGACAAAATGACATAACAAGATATTATTCTATCTTTTCTTCTCATCAAATAAATTGTTTTTACTTTTGCCTTTTCTATATAAAATTTGATTCAAAAAACTTTTCCCTACTACTTAATTTTTCAAGGTTTTTCGAGATAGAGATAAATTTATTGTTTAATACATGATATAAATCATTAGACTAGGAAAAAAAGAATTATTTTTCAAGTAAGACTCAAATACTTGAAAAGACGAATTTTAGTGAAATGTTTCGGTATTTTCATTCAGAACATGAAAAAACTTGTTTTCTTCATATGAGTGTTTTCTTCATTTACTTGTTGCCTTTATTTCTATATATATGTTTCCTCAAATACTTGAAAAGAAATATTTCTAGTGAAATATTTGGGTAGAAGACTGTTTTCATTCAATGAACAATTCAATGAACATTGATTAAATTAACGCTAAGATTTTTGGAGGTCGAAATATATTTTGTTATATAGAAAATACTCATGAAATAAATTTGTTGGAATTTTGTAATAAATTTGTTGGATGTGGAATTTTTTTCCTAATGAGCTGAAAATACTTGAAAAGAGATTCTTAGTAAAATATTTCGTTAAAAAACTATTTTCAATCAGAGGATACTGACTAAATTATCATTGAGGGTCTTAGAGGTAGAAATAATTTGTTGCATGAAATAAATTATCAGACAAGTAAAAGACATTTTTTCATATGAGCCTCAAATACTTGAAAAAAATATTTTTAGTGAAATATTTTTGTAGAAAACTGTTTTCCTTCAGTAAACACTGATTAAATTAGCATTGAGGTTTTTAGAACTAGAGATAAATGTGTTACACTAAAAAGATACATTTAAACAATCAGTATACAAAGAAATTTTTTCACATGAGATGCAAATACTTGAAAAGAAGATTTTTAGTAAAATATTTCGCTAAAGTTCTTTTAGTAAACACTGATTAAATTATAGGATGATTATTTTCAAAATTGCCTTTTTTTGGAGGTAAACAATAGTTTTAAAAAAAAAAACATGAAAAAAAATAAATAGAAATAGAAAATAAAAAGGCAAAAAAATAAAATTAAAAGCAAAGAAGAAAAGCAAAGAAAAATAAATAAGTACTGCTATAAAGCAGCAAAAACAGTAAAATTGCAAATGTTGTTATGATATTTAATAATGCAAGTAAAAACGCTTTGCTAAATTTCATGAAGAAAAATGTAATTTTAAATAATTAAAAATCTATATATATGTACTTGGAGGCTAAAATTGTAAGCAAAGAAAAACATATTTCGCAAGCTCAAAATTTCTTACTCTATTTTTGATTTATCAGTTAAATAAATAAAATTTTGTTATGAAAAAAAAAAGAAAATGTCGAAATAAAATCTCACACATTAGCTTGAATCATAAAAAGTAGAGAGTTTTGTTGAATGTTAATATTAGAATCACTAAAAATTGAAAAACTATACATTTTCGAAATGACATAAATAGTAAATGCGACCTTAGTGTAAAAATTTTATCAATTAAAATAAAATTGTGTGTTAACCGCAATTTTATAAGCAATTTCCATAAGAAATTCGAATTTTTTTACTGAAATTGTTTTCATTCCGGAAATACAAATTGTAAAGTTTTGTTATCTTGCATTTATATTTATAGATTAATGCTTCCAAAATAAAAATATATTTATGAATGCATATAATTAATTATGTTCAGTATATTTAAGTTACTTAAAATTGAAAGTGGGATTTTTGCAATAATTGGTAAATCATAATTGGTTAAGAAAAATAATTGGTAAATCATCTCTTTATATTTTTGTTTAAGAGGTTTTAAATTCCATACATTCATTATGATTGAGTTACTAAATTATTCACATAAAATTTTATTAAATTTCATTTTTTAACTATGCTTTTCTAATATGGTTATCATTATTCATCATATTTAATTAAAATTATTTAGCAAATAAAATGAAGTTTTGCAAATTTTAAAATTCAAGAAACATCAAGTCCAACATGTTATAAATATTTCAAAATGACCTGCAATTACTTTTTTAAACAAATTTCATTTAGCATGCATTACCAAAATAATCGAGTGCTTTTTCGTTCTATTATAAAAAGTTTTATAAAAAGTTTCAATAACACATAAAACAGAAATATTATCCATATCTTAAAAAGTCAAAATTTCATAAATTATTTTTCTCGAAAATTTTTTTTTTTCAATTCTACGTTAAACTATCATTAAAACCATTTATGTTTTTTTTAAATGAAAATGTGTTTTCTCAATAAAATTGTAACATTATCTAACATTAACTTTATTTATTAATTTTTTTATAAGACATAGAAGTCAAGTTACAAATATTATATATTAATTTGAAGATAATGGAAGATAATAAAGAAGAAAAAAAAATTTCAATATTTTGATTTTTATAAATGGTAATGTACCTTATACTTAACAACTAGAAAATATCTAACCATTCGATGTTTAATGGTTTAACAAAATAATTAGCGTAAATGCAAAGTTTTTCTGAACATACTGCTTTTATTTAAAATATTTGTAAAAAGAAACATTAAGTATGAAAAAAATCTATAAAATCATCTATCTAATTTGGAAGGAGAATTTAAAATTAGTTAGTTTCCTTTAGTTTTAAGAATCAAGCACACTTTTTAAGTTGATAGAATTCAGAAGTGAAGTTTAGAAGATGCAAATGATTTTTTTTTCTATGATATTGAAAAACAAAATACTATTAAATATTAAGATTAAATTTAAAACTAAACAAAATTACTTTATTTTTACCTTTATTTTTATTGTTCACGTAATGATATTTAGTGGTTTTTATTTAACTATTTTTTTTTAAATATTATTTGAAATAAAAATTTTCCTTCTTTGCAAATTTTATGCATGAATTTCAATCGAAGCTAATTAAGTTTTATTTTCTCAATGTTTTTCTTGATAGGCGCAAACAAATTTGTATGCTAATTAAAATTAAAATATTAAACAAAGCCTAAATATTTATTCTTCGAATTAAAAAATAAGAAGTTAAATTAAATTGAAAGTTTAATAGCTTAAGAAATGGAATCGTTTATACTTAAATAATAAAATGCATAAAATCATTAACATACTTTACGTAACATACATAATTTACGTAAACATAATATATTTATATTATCACAATCATTTATATAATCATAATTTATAAATGCATAAAACTTTTTGCTCACTTCTGTACGATTTTATGTATAAAAAGTTAGAAGTATCAAGGAATATTATTTTATTTAGTACAAGAAAATTAAAAAATTTAATTATTATTGTTTCGGCGTAACTTAATATTAAAAACAAAATCGTACACAAAAATAATTGTATCCATTACAGAAAAGTTAGGAGTGTTTCTTATTTACCGTTTAAAATTCTAAAAAAAATCATTCTTATTAAAATAATAATATTTTCATTAATAATTATCAAGTTAAATTATAATACATATAATATGTAATTCTTATATATTGAAAATGCTTTTTTGCGAAAAAGGAAATCTAATTAAAATATACTCTAAATAAATCAAGATGAAAAAAATGTTTTAAAAAGTCTAAAAAGATAGTCAAGTCTGTTTAGGGAAATCATATAACGGAAGTAGTCTATAATCATATTCTAAAAATGGATAATTTTATAATAATTTTTAAAACCATGACTTTAATTAATTATTGTATATTATTCATCACTTAAGTCTAATGCGCAAAATGAAATGACTATTCAAAAACAGGCATGAGTTAAATAAGAAAAACATGTTCATTTTAAAGAAATTATAGCAGTTAAAATTATATAAAAAATTATCTCTGTTAAAAAAAACATTTGTGAGTATGCCGTTTTAAATATGTTTGAAAAAATGGATATAAATTTTAACCGCAATAGAAGTTAGAGAAAAGGCTTAGAGGATGGAATAAATTTCATCATTCATGCAATAGCAACAGGCAGAGCAGTTAAATTTTTGCTAATTTTGAATTGTACAAATGCATTAGAATAATTAATATTTTTGTAATTCTTATGTCAAAGGGCTCTTATAACTGATTTTGAAAACGTTGTATTTTTTTAATTTAAAAATATTTAGAATTTATATTGAATTTAAATTACTGAACTTATATTAAAAAAGAGTATTTTCACTAACAATTAAACTTACAAAGCCATATGATAGGTAATAGCCTTGCAACCACGTGGTCTTTCAAGAAAATTATTGACGAATTGTTGCCTCTTACGGCATGCCGCTTCCTTTTGCCTTTTCTTTTTGCTTTCTGTTCCATTAAGAAGACTTTCTTGAGCACTTGAAGAAGATGTTCTTCTTTTACAGTAGTTGTCATTCTCTTCCTGTTCATTTTGATTACATCTTTTTCTCTTGGCGTCAAATTTACCACCAAGATCAAATAGTTCTATAAAGGCCACTCGAATTTCACCTCCTCCGCCACCCCCTCCCGAGGGGTAGTCGGACCTCGGGTTGGAGCGGCCGGACATGTGGACGCAGGATTGTTCCTTGCATGATCTCCGGCTCATCCAGTTTAATCATCGTTTTCAACACCGGACACACCGCTCATTCTATTTTTCTCTGCAGCCCACCCCATTCCGTCATCACCATAGCGAAAGGGGTTTTTCCTTTTTTCAAAACAACACACACTGAAGTTGCACAACTTCACCGCCAGATGTCACTTCTGTGAGCAAAGTTTTTAATTCTGAAAGGTCTGTTCTCTTCACATTTGGCTCCGTTTTCACTTTTGGCTTCTCAGCAAGGCAGCGTTGGGTGTGTGCGATCTTTTGTTTTCGCCATGAATTGAAGAAGTTCCTGCAGTTGAATGATGGGTAAAAATAGGGAGGGTAGAAAATATAAATCACGTGACTTTTGTCTCCAGAGAAGAATCATCTTTTTTTCCCCTCCTCATTGGTAATTCTAAAGTCAAGTGTGGGCGGGTTCTTAGCATGTATTTAATGTTTTCATTTATCGACCAAAGATTAGATTTGAATTGTCTAAAGATATGAGTAAATTTGACAGATTGTTTCATTTTTCGTAACTATTTAAAAAATAATTGCTTTATTTTACTTTTATAAAATGGGGAATTTTAGTAAAAAAATATATATTAGAAATTTATGCTCTATGTAAAGTTTGGAATGCGTTATTCAGTAGTTCAAGTAAAGTGCAATTATACGAAACAATAAAATTGGTTAATAAAAAATTTAATTGATTATAAAATTGGTCTTAAAATATTTTATTAGAATTGCATTATCTTGGATATTAATTTTTTTAAAGTGATTTGTTTTGAAGTAGAAATAATATAGGTAATTCACTATCAAACTATCTTCTGTAACTCGAATGCGGTTTTTCTTTTTTATTTTCTTTTTTTTATTATGCAAAATATTGATTAGATAGTGATTAAACATGAAGACATGATGCGAAACTTTTCCAGAAATTCCAACAATATTCTTTATGTCAAATTTATATTTCATATTCCCTTCTACATTCGCACAAAATTTTAGCTCTATTACATTCTATTCCCTACATCTATTTCATCGTCATTTAATACATCTAATTTTTTTCCTTGGGGAAAAAAATATGCAATGATATTTCTAAAAATTAAACTCTTCTCATTTTGATACTGTATTAATCACAGAGGCTGTTTATTTTTTCTACTTCTGTATTTACAAAAAAACTACTTTAACTTTTTATATGTAAGAATGGTTAAAAGTTGAGATTCAATTCTTCAAAAACTTTTTAATTGCCTATTTTGTGTAAGTTAAAATTGCTTTTTTTCTTNTTTTCCTTTTTTTTTTTTTATTATGCAAAATATTGATTAGATAATGATTAAACATGAAGACATAATGCGAAACTTTTCCAGAAATTCAAAAAATATTCTTTATGTCAGATTTATATTTCACATTCGCACAAAATTTTAGCTCTATTGCATTCTATTCCCTACATCTATTTCATTGTCATTTAATACATCTTATTTTTTTTCCTTGGGGAAAAAAATATGCAATGATATTTCTAAAAATTAAACTCTTCTCATTTTGATACTGTATTAATCACAGAGGCTGTTTATTTTTTCTACTTCTGTATTTACAAAAAAACTACTTTAACTTTTTATATGTAAGAATGGTTAAAAGTTGAGATTCAATTCTTCAAAAACTTTTTAATTGCCTATTTTGTGTAAGTTAAAATTGCTTTTTTTCTTAATCAATAAGCTTTTTATAAAAACATCAAATACGAGTTTAATGAAACAATTGCCAATATTGCAGTAAGGGAAGTCGTGTTTTAAAAACAGCGATCAAAAAATTATTTTTTGCAAGCTTTAATCTAAAATATTCTATAATCAATAAACATATTAAGTAAAACTGGAGTATGTATTGTTATTATTAGTTTTATTTCTCTTATTAATGGTATTCTTTTTACTTAAAGCAAACTATTTAAATATTCTTTTTTCATTATTACTATTTAGAAGAAAGTGCTTATAAAATCAACTTTCTGCGAAAACTAAAAATTTTTTCTTCCAATGTACACCTGATTGACTCTCGACATTCAGGTAATTAGTAGGACAGATTTGTTAACCACTCTTTCAGGTACACTATATTAAAAGCGCCAATGTTGCTCCCACCTTAAAGATACAGATAGTGCAAAAAAGGGCGGAAAATCCATGCCTTGTCCAAGATTCAAACCCAAGACCTTTCTGATGCGAGATCAATTTCCAGACCACTAAACAGTTCGGTCGCCACTATCAAAATCCCATAGTTATTAATAAAATATATTTAAGTAACAAATTAACTGATTTAAGACTCGTTATCTGCTTTAAGTAAAATAAATAAAGAAACTTTTAACTGTTTATTCAAAAAATGGTTATTAAAAGCAAGATGCTCACATCTAATTTTATAGAATAAACTTAAACTATATAAATACAAATTAAATGGAGAAAAAAAAGAATTTTTTTTTGTAGGAGCATTTATACAAGTAGCTATTGTAGTTGACATTTAATGAATATACCTTATTTTCGTTTGCTTTCATTTCTTTTGTTATCATACTTTTTTAAGTCATGTAATATGTAAATAATATTAAATAAACGAGCCGCAATACTCAGTGTTTAGGACACTGAGCTATTATCGGGAAGGGCTAAGGTTCCATTCCCACGATTGGCTTGAAACCCATCCAGCTTTCATTTAATTGACCCATGATCAGTTGATGCTTCCAATCTGTTGGTGTATGATTCTAAGCAAGTAACCATCATTATATTGATCACGAAAGTGTGGAATCTTAACCCCCGTGAGCTCTTCGCTCAAATGAGGCTAGTGCAGGTATGTTTTAATTTAAATGCTTATTTTTTAGAAGCTTCTTAGAATGGTAACTATCTCTATTAAAGTATTTTATCTGTGTCTTATTTGCTTCAATTTTATTATTTTTTGTATAAATATTTCGCTCTCAGATGTGTAATTGTAAAAAAAATAATAATGCGGATCTTATAATTTTATATTCCGAACAATCAGAACCATGTAATAAGTAGCAAAATAAATTCATAAATTGTTCAATCAGATTCAATAATATCGATAATATTAATCTATTTCTCAGCATGAAAAAAGATTTGAGAATTCCCTGTGTCAGCAAATCTCAAGTAAACTTAACTTATCTTTAGTTTCCTTTTATTAATTATGTTAATTAGAGATAACAAGAATAGGTTAGATGACAAGAGTTTGTAATAATTTATTTTATTTTATTAACTTGGCTAACTATAATAAACTTATTTACATTCAATACTTTATGTGTAATAATTTAAAGTGGCTAACTATAATAAACTTATTTACATTCAATACTTTATGTGTAATAATTTAAAGTGGCTAACTACAATAAACTTATTTACATTCAATACTTTATGTGTAATAATTTAAAGTGGATAACTATAATAAACTTATTTACATTCAATAATTTATGCGTAATTATTTAAAGTTAAATGAAATTTCCGGAAGGTATAATAAAAATGTTCAGAAAATCATCAAAAAAAAATGAAAAAAAGCTATTCAAAAATTCATATTAATTTAAATTTCTAATAATTTTCCGTAGGTCATGGACAGAGATAATCTTGAGAAACAACTCATGTTTCAATAATCATTTCATCCGGACTAAAATTAGTAAAGTTTGATGATTTTATATAGTGTAAATTGAAAACAGAGATCAATACATTTAATCCACGGATGAAAGTAGAATTATGTAAGATTCATCATAAACTTTGAAAAACTATCAAATAATGAGAGCTCTCAGAACTCTTACCAAATAAATATCACACGATGATTTGAAATTCAACTCTGACCTATTCATCCTCCCCCACCTTTCCATCATATCTTGAACATGTGAGTAAAGGAGCTCCAGGACTTACTCTTTCCTTAGTGTCTGAACCATTTACTTCAAACAATCTATTTATAATGCAGAACTAGCATCTGATATTTAAAACCAAATATGTTATTATATTTGTGTTATATAATAAATTTAATGCTTTTAAAATGTGCAATTGATAGGCCTTAAATGTAATAAATATTGAGAAAATGTCTTTATACAAAAAACTAAAGTTTTTTTTACATACATTCTCAAATGTTTGACGGTTCAAAGTTGTTTTGTTAACAAAACGGCTTTTCTCAGTTTAATCATGAAAGGTTTAAAAGCGTCAATTCAAATTCTAGTTTTTACAGTTGCCGTCTTGCTTACCGTATGATAGCTCACTTACTTTACATAATCATTTTATGATTATTTTCGATACATGCTCTTATATTACAGGATTCTTTTTCAGTTTTTAACGTCGTAAGAATGAAAACGTGGTTTCATTTTATTTTAAAATTGATACTCTTCCTAATTATAATAATTATTTTATTGAATTCTTTTTTGAAAATAAACGAGTTCCTTTAAAATAACAGTGAGTTTAAAAAATTTAAATTAGGTTATGTTTACAAAGAAATTAACTATACCCAAAGTAATTTATATATATATANGAGAGAGAGAGAGAGAGAGATGTATATGTGCTGTGTGGAGAAAAAAAAATCATATTTTTCAAATAAAATAAATATAATAAATCAATTCAGGTTTTATTGAATATTACTCAACGTTCTCATTTTGTTCATCTATTAAACAAATAATAACGACTAAATCAATTTTGCTTCATTAAATAGCAATGCAAACACAAAACTATTTTTGCACCATCAAACGACTGACTTGTTAAATTTAGTCATAGAAGAAGTTATAGCTTCGAATTTATCCTAAAAAATTATTATTTTAGGCAAGGATTCACAGCTCAAAGTTATCAAACAAATACCACTAAATTCAACTTTTTACAAGATATAAACTTGAATGTCAGCTCTTATTCTTGACAAAAATGTCAATTTATTTCACAAAGCAATTCAAAGCTTAGTTTAATCTCAATCTTATATCAAAGAAATGACACAAGAATATGTTTTTAAAAAAAGTTAGAACCAATTGCTTTCCGCTCTTTTAATAACATAAATTTAAAAAATTGTGAAATAAAATATCACAACTAATATTTTTTTAAAAAGTATTCAGTTTTAGTGCAGATTATAACTCAAGCATCACATTTTATTCTGCTTTAAAAATTCAATTATAAAGTTCAGTTTTGCGTAATGTATTGCATTATGTACATTTAAATATCATGATTTAATTTCTAAATTAAAGTAATGATGCCTTAAGAATATTAGTGAGAATGAAAGAATAGTTCTAAATCAAATAAGTGAATTATTCAAGAAGTTGCATTTCACATTATTTTAAAATGATTTTAGT